TACATACATACATACATACATACATACATACATACATACATACATATATATATATATATATAGTAACTCCTAAACACAAATAGACAACCCTGAAAATATGAATAAGAAGTCAGCCTTAAAATCTCCAATTTATAATCAGTTTTTATCCACAAACATAAACAAATCATTTCTCCCTTATTTATTAAAATGACTATTTTATAATATACTAAGCAATCAGTAGCTAATTTTGTCAATTTCTGTGCAGCTGAGGACTGAAGCAAATAACTCAAGCTGGATGGTTATAGCTTACATTTGTGATCTCACAAGTCTTATTCCCATGTTTAATAGAATAATCTTCATCTAATAATTCCACGAATTCCAATTGGATGATCCAGGATATTTTGTTCCAACTTGTAATTGCTACAAGGACTTCTACTATATAGCCCTGATACTAAAAATGTAGTTATTAATTCATTTAATAAATAACCATTACCAACCTTTTATTATCCCTCAATTTTACTACTTGAGCTATCAACCTCATTCTGCCTAGCCGTATGGCCAGCCCTGCTGGAAAAGGATTATCACAGTCACTTTGGGATCAAGACAATACCTGACCTACATTTTCCTCCTTAATCATGGCCGCCAGGTATGCGATAGGAAATGATTGCACTTTCTGCTCTGAAATGCCTACCTTAATTAGTTTTGTATGGGCAGGTTTAAATAGCTATGTTTCCACTTTATCATTGCTGTTTAAGCATGTAGATGACGCTCTACAGCTTTGCCCTTCGTCACTGGTAAACTTAGAATACTACCATTGGTTGCCTACTTATCTACCCAACGTTTAAGCACCAGTTCTACAATATGTTTAGGACAAAATATTTTATGGCAACTCATATTTATCTTACGTATAAGTCCTGATTCATTCCAATCAAAGGAGACTGGATGCGGACTATGTTAGAGATCATTAATATTCATTCATTCATTAATTCATTCATTCGTTCGTCCATTCATTCATTCATGTAGCTGTACACCTTACACAATATGAATATGGGTGGTATAAAAAACACAATTCTATGAAGAAGAGCACCAATTGGGATTACTACTACCAAAGTAGCAGAGAAAGGTATGATTATAGGCCAGTGATGGGGAACCTTTCCTTATGGAGTGCCAAAATTGTGTGCACGTGTGCTATTGCGCATGCATGCGTTCTCACACAAATTCAATCCTCCCCGTCCACCTGCGCATGTGCGCATGACCCTCCTCAGCTCCGGAAGCTTTCCTGAAGCCGGGGGGGGGGGAATGGCCTCCCCTGGGCCCCCCAGAAGCCGGAAATGGATCATTTCCAAACTTCTGATTGGCCAGTTGGGGACATTTTTCACCCTCCCCAGGCTTCAAGAAAGCCTCCGGAGGCTGTGGAGGGCGAAAAATGGGCCCAATGAGCCAACTGGAATTTTGGAAACAAACTTCTAGTTGGCCCGTTGGCCCTGTTTTTCACACTCCCAAGCCTCCGGAGGCTTTCCTGAAGCTTGGGGAGTGCAAAAACGGCCTCCCTTGGCCCTCCAGAAGGTTGAAAATCAACTGACCGGTGCATGTATGCACACTGGAGCTGACTGCTGGCGTGCCACCTGTGGCATGCGTGCCAAGGATTCGCCATCTTGGTTATAGGCAATAATATTATAGCGTTTTCTCTAATTCACTATTTCCTTGAAATCCTCTTTTACTTTCTGTTCTTCAGTACTCAGTACTCCCCCTAGAACCATATATAAAGGAACTGATTGACTGATTATGTACCAATGAAGCTGGTGTTGACTTTTAGTAACCTTATAAATATTCTTTCGGAAGATCAGTCCCTAACCTGGTTCTTCAAGTTCTGTATCAAGAAATAGGAAGTTTGTTTTTTGAAATGACGCTATCTGAGATACTCTGCAGGATAAAACATCCAAAACAAATAAAATCCCTTTAATGAAAAGTTGGAATAATTTAATTAAGAACAAGCTGAAGGGTACATGAAATACGAGAAATTATACTATTGCTAATATAAGAAACAATATTTCTTTTGTGAAAGATGTTTGATTAAGATTTTTTTATACCCTTCTTTTAATGCTGAACAAACATTTCTTATGAAGAAAATCCGCAATGCTGAATTAATTGTCTTGCTTGGAAAATTTAGTGGCCAAGATACCAGAGGTAAAGGATAAAAGGAAGTATGCATTATCAATGTTTTATATGAAGCCAATGTAGAAACAGTTGCTATAGAAACTACCGCAGTGAGGAAAAAAAGCTAAGATCTCAAAGAGATACTACCCCTATTCAACTTCTGATACTTAAAAAGAAAAGAAAAAGACCTCATAACAAGGGTATCACAGGAATGGAAGAAAAACACCTATATCTGTTTTAACTAATTAAATCTAAATGTTGTTCATTGACACAATCACAAAGTCTCCCTTTCTGGGTAATTTCCTATTTTTGTGGTCTCCTTTATGCCATTTTTTTTAACAATTTAAAAGTTAATGACCCTCTTGGGTCAAGGATCTATTCCATTGTAAAGTTAAAAATGACTGATTGGCTCAATAATATTACATGATATCTGAGATTCAGATGTCCCCCATTCTCTGGAAGATTAACACCTGGCTTTTCCCTCAGGCCTTGAGGCCAGGATGGGAGATACAGCCAGCATTGTGATTTGGGAGGATAGTGATATAAAGTTGGTGGAGCATGATATATAACCTTGTATATTTTATTATTTCCGTATCTGATGGTTCACTACCTAGGATCATTTTATCCTAATATAGGCAGCAGTATACCTTACTACGTGATGGCAACATGAATTGAACAAATAAATCATTTCCCTCAGGATTACAAGGTCCCTTAAAAGGGGGAAATGCCCCCTTTTAGCTTTCTCTTAAGTCAAGAGTGTTCTCTTCCAAGGGAGAAGCATTTTATTTAGCCAAGTATATTTTACTTTTAATATGATGTTTGCTTTATCTTGTGGACTAGATTCATTGATGGACTAATTGATTTAATTCCATGTGGCAATCAAAAAGACTCTTGGTGGCTTATGTATGAAAGTTACAAATTAAACCATCCACAGTTGAAAAATAAACAGAATTATAATATGTTCATGCAAAGTTAAAACCGTGTAAAATAAGACAGGAATAAAGATAAAGAAGAGCTGAAATGGCAACATCAGATCAGGTGAAAGCTCTATGGAACAACTCAGTCTTCAACAGTTTACAATAAACAGGGAGCTAGCCTGACCTCTAGGTAAAGGTAAAGCTTCCCCTTGCACTTATGTGTTAGTAGTTCCCAACTCTAGGGGAAGAAACACTGTTCCCTTCCCACCAAAGGCGGTTCCGATTTTTCTACTTGCATTTTTACATGCTTTCAAACTGCTAGGTTGGCAGAAGCTGGGACACATAATGGGAACTCACCCTGTTATGTGACACTAGGGATTTGAACTACCGAACTGCCGACCTTTCGATCGACAAGCTCAGCGTCTTAGCCACTGAGCCACTGCATGTCTACAAGATGGCTATTTCACCATGCTGCCTTGTTTCGCCCCCCAAAACCTTTTGAGAGTCCTGAATGCCTTGCTTTTTCCTGGCTGATCTAATCAGGCTGGTCAATATTGAATGGAGGAGAAAGTCCTACATGTATCTGAGTATCAAACTATAAAGGGCTTTTATAGGTTAAAACCAATATCTGATTATGTTATGTAGTACCCCACTCTGATAGGATCTAAAGTGATGAGAATTGGTCTAGATGTGAAATACTTCACTTTGCAGTTTACACGCCTTGTAGACAAAAACCAACATGAGAATAGTAAGACTGAACTTCCTGGAGGCAGAAGACAGCAAGAGCAGTTTTGGTATCTATTTGTTCTCTGGAAAGAAAGTGAAGGATTGCTCCCCAAAATAGTGGACATATAGTTCTTGTTCCAACAGAGTCTTCATGGTTTCATATTGTTTATTTGTTTGTTTTACAAATGAAACGTGTCTTTGCTTTTACAGATGGGAAAGCCTATCAGAGAGATAATTTTTGCTGACTTCCAGTGTTCTTAGTAGATCAGCAGGAGTGTAGCACTTGGAGAAGTGAAGTCATAGCAGTAATTTATGTGGCATCCTGAAAAAAAATTCTATTAAAAATTCATAATGGATACAGGCCAGAAAGTTAGTTTTTCTTTTTTAGCATGCTTTAATATTTATTTCATTACTGAAGGTCACCTAGGGACATAATCTCAGTCGACAATTTCTCAATGGAGAAAGGGCAGGGAAGAGCAGTGTAAATAGTTTATGAAGGCATTTTCTTGACAGATTTTGTTGCCTCTTTTCTTTTGGCTTCATGCTTTAGAGAGGCCCTTTGATGAAACAGATAGCACAGTACTTATCAACAATAAGATCCTGAGCTAAAAGTTTCTTGTAGGATACAAGCCACTTGGAAAACATGTTTTTTACTGTATCAACCTTTCAGAAATACATCAAATTAGATTATAGGGCAATAAGGGGAAATCCCTAATTGTTTAATTTCATTAACCTTGAAATTGCACATAATGTCTACTTAGCTATAATCACCACTGAATCCAATGGGAGTTATTCCCAAGTAAACGTGTCTGGAAATGCAGTAAAAGAAATCTAAGTCAAATAGGCATTTTGGCCAGATGAAAAGATATTGGTTCTGTCTGTGTACTAAGAGCAGACTGCGATGATCTCTGAGTCTTAGGACAAATTTAGCATAGGTTTATGTGTTTATCTTTTCAACAAATATCATTTAGTATATAAAGGCACCCTTACCTTTATCCATGTCACTTTCAAAAGACAATTTCCTTCTTCGGAGTTTACCACTGTCTCCATCCGAATCATTTGTGATCTGTCGCCTTATTGCAAGATCAGCCTTGAAAAAGAAGACGTTCATACATTATATGATAGATTTAGAGACATTTGACTTTATTTATACAACTCTTCATTAGTTTACTTTGAGATGGATTTTGTCCATAGATGGAAGAGTTCCTTCTACAGCTTTTGAACCATGAAGAGCTATTGATCCTAGAAAGTGGGGAAGGAAAATTAATCTTTCTTCTTGGCCCCAAGTATAGTTCTACTCCAGGAGTGGGTTCCAGAAGTCACTATTGTTAGTCTGCTTGTGGGTGCGCCATGCGCGCACGCATGCACAGAAGCAAAAAACAAGATGGCGGCACCTACGCCACCGCCAGGAGAACTGGTTTGGGGGCGTGGCAGACCTGGGTCGCTGCTGGTTCCACCAACCCAGGCCACCAAATTACTACTGGTTCAGCTGAACCGGTGGGACCCCACCATTGTTCTACACTGTTGGAGGGTCAGGTTAACCCTAGCCTCCACAAAGAAGTCTCCACATAGCAGTGGTGGGTTCCGGATCCCGTTCCAACCAGTATGGTTTGAATGGGCCCGGTGTTGCCTATGTGGACATACGTGGTGTGTGCATAAGTTGTGCCTGCCAGCGACGCTTCCACAAGCCTCCACGGTGCTCCAGCTGCGTGTCAGAGTGTCGCACAGGTGCTATACGCACCATGTGCATGCGCATAAGTGCCAAAGGCTTTAAAGGACAGGTAAGGAGCTCGGGTGTGTGTGTGAGCCTTCCAGAGCACTGTACCAGAACGGTACCCAGTGCTCTGGGCAGGTTCCGGTACGCCCGTACCAGGGTGTACCGCCTACAACCCACCACTGCCACATAGGGTATGGAGGATTCAGAGGGCTGGTGAAATGTTTTCTCTTCTACTTCTCTTAAAAAGAATAGAACATTCCAATGCCCAGGATTTTGTCTATATGCAAAAAAAACCCCCAAACCAATAGTAGTAATTCCTTTTCTGAGTAAGACTCACAATTTATAGATGTGTGGGTGATATTGAAGAGTTGTCTCTTTAAAAAAAGAATGTTGATATAAGCACTAGAATGTTAATTAAAGTCCCCTTTACATCTTGTTCTCTGAATTACTATTTAAAGTTGTTTATCCTTTTTAAAACAGAGTGTTCTCAGAAATAAGCTAGGGAAGAAAAAATGGAAAACAATCTCTTATGGATTGTTTATTACTTCAGACAGTAATGTAGTAGTAAATTATAATTAGCTATGATGTTTAATTACACAATAACAGTAATAAAAGTTGATCTACATAACAATAAAGCAAACAAATTATATGCTCTTTTATCTCTCTCTAATTTTTCCTTCTAACATTGAGCCAATGACAGAGATGTGACTTTCATAGCTGAAAAAGCAGCTTTTATTTGGGTAAGTGCCGTTTCTTCTAATAATTATTTCTGCTCTTTGTCAAGAATTTCCGAGATATACATAGTCATTTTTCACTAAACAGAAACAGAACAAAACAAGAAAACAAAGGAGAATAGAAGATAGAAAGCAAAAAACTGATCACATCTGTCTGCTCAATACAGGAAAGACGTAGGCTTTAGAGAAGGTCTTAAAGATGTTCTTAGAGAAGTTTAGCATGGTTTGCCCTTGCCTCCTTTCTAGGGCTGAGGGAGAATGACTGGCCCAGGTCACCAGCTGCCTTTTGTGCAAGGTAAGTCTCCCAGTTCCCAACCACTATATTATACTAGCTTGGTAGATCACTGGTGGGATTCCAAATCTTTTCCTACCGATTCTATGAGAGAGCGCTTTGCGCACGTGCAGAGCACTCAAAGACATCCCTTGGTGTCAGCGCTGGTGAACTGAGCTGTTTTTTTAGCTCAGCTAAGGTGTGGCAATCCATTCTGCCACATAAATCACCTCAGCTAAAAAACAAGGGAATATAGGACAGGGGGCGGGAGAGATGGCTCAACCAGAGTTGATATTTGTGGGTTATCTGAACTACTCAAACTTTTCACTATCAGTATTGTTCAAACTTGACAACTTTTAATATGTGTGGATTTTTAAGATGAACTCCCAGAATTCCCCACCCATCTCCAGATGTAAGGACTTCAGCTTCTAAAATTCCCTAGCCAACTAGGAAATGCTGAGAATTTTAGAAACTTTTGTTTAAAGATATGGACAGAAACCCACATTGGAGAAAGCTGATGTACAAAATGGTTCTTGAAACTAACTTTTTTGTCTGACACTTCATTGAAATTTTAATGTCCCCCTGTTACTTTACCGATTTTACTAGGTCTAGTTAAGTGCTCCTCAATAATGGGTTTTTAAAAAAGATATATAATTTAACTCTCACTTTATGAGACCTTCATTCAACATGTCATTTGCATTTATATTGTAAATTCACTCTACTTCCTTTTTGGATTGACATGAACCTTACAATTCTTTATATTCTTCCCCTTGTTTGGAGACTAAAAGGAAAGTTAGCCCCTTTTTCCTCCCTAGAATCTTTGTGCGATTTGTAGAATTAGAAGAGGCCTTTTAGATTCTCAAGGATCACCCACACACCCTAACCTAACCCAAACAGGATGCATCCTCAATACATGGTTGACTAGTATCTGCCTAAATGAATCTAATGACGGGGAGATTACCTATTTCTAGGTTATTGGTTCCACTGTCAGCCTGCTTTTACTGCTAGGTACCATTTTCTATCAGTCTTCTGGAATCTGCTTTTTTGTAATGAAAATTAAATGTTTTTGCATGCTGCATGCTGAAATAAAAAAGTCTTGATCTTCTATATGACATTACATTAGAAGAGGACTATCATACCTCCTCTCAATTGGCTTTTCTATAGCTAAACACAGCAAGTTCCTTCAATTACTCTCATAATTTCTAGGCTAATTGCCTTCAGTACCCTTCTCCTATTTCAGGGCTGTCAAACTCCCAGCCTGGGGGCCGGATGCGTCACGTGCTGGCCACGCCCCTGCCCGGTTTAGCAAAGGGGAGAACACTCCCAATACGTCACATGACACCGCTGTGACAACGGGAGTTTGACATCGTTTGTCCTATTCCAAATTCCACTGAATTCTGCTTAAATGTGTGATGCCAAGAACTGGACACAGAGCCTAAAATGGGGCTTTCCTCAGGAGCTGGTCACAGATGGAACTATAAGCAGCTTTTCTTTTGCATTCCCACTTAATTGATTACCAATGGGCATTAAAAATGTATCTGTCTTCCCTTTTTTTTCCTTTCTGCTTTCAAGTAGCAGGGGAAAAAGTTGGGAAATGGGGCTATGACAGGATGTTGAAAGGAGAAACAACCTCATTCAGAAGAGGAAGTTCTATCCAACTGGACTCCAAGGGCTGATAAAAGTAAAGCTGGCAGGGAGCATGGAACAATGCCCCCCCATTATATATGAGCAGAAGGTGTTTAAATTGTGGGTGTCTAAGGAAAAACAGCCAAATACCGCTTAACAAGAGTAACATTTTGCTACTACCATATTTTTTGGACTATAAGACACACCAGCGTATAAGACACACCAAGATTTTGAAGAGGTAAGTAAGAAAAAAAAGTTTTTGCCTTCCCTCAGCTCCCAGCAGCACTCTGCAGGCTTTAGCAGGGCTGGGGCAAGGCAAAAAAAACAAAAACCAAACCCATTTCTGAAGCCTGCAGAGTGCTGCTAGGGGCTGAGAGAAGGCAAAAAAGTCTCAGTTTTTGCCAAAAATGGCCTGTTTTTCGCAAAAATGGAATGTGGGGGCGGGGCTTTGGGAGGCCAAAAATGGCTGTATTTGGTGTATAAGACACACCAACATTTCCACGCTCTTTGGGGGGGGGGAGTTGTATCTTATACTCTGAGAAATACGGCAATTGCAATCCAAATTTGACCACCTAAAACATCTAAGGTACTATGCTGCATGGATAGAAGCGTTGGGGATACATCTAGCCTGTATTGGGGCTAGAAACTGAGATGATGGAAACAGAAAAGAAGGAGAAATGTACTATACGCAAACTGAAGCAGAGACTACAAGCAATGAGAAAAAATATGGCTACTAGGATAATTTAGGTAGTAATCTAGCACTATTACATTATAGATAAAGTAGAGAGGGAGACAGCCATTGTCTTTACTGAGATTGAATTTTAGATTGTGGATACATTATTTCAAAAAATTGAGGCATGGAAAATCTTATTTATGATGTGCTTAGTTTCTAAATATGTCATGTAATAGAATTGCCGTTCTTTTCTCTGCTGGATATTAATATATTGTATAACTGCTTTTTCCTACATGTATCTATGTATCAATCTATGTATGTATCTATGATCAATATATCTGTGATCAAGCAGCTGTCCTTCATGCTCTAGTCCCTGATCACGAAAATAAACAAGCAATGCAAAAGGAGAGAATTTTACTAGAGTTTTTTTCTTTGCTAATATTTATCTTTCATCATCAATTTTTATTATGGTGACAGAACACATTTTTCTTTCTTTCTTTTACCTTTCTAGACCAGGGATGTCAATCTCAAGGCCCAGGGGCCGGATCTGGCCCGCGGGGTGCTTATATCTCAGATCCTGGAAACAGCGAAGGACTGGCCCACAGTGCTTCTGCCAGCAAAAATGAAGCTTGCACACGGGCCTCCTGAGCTCCGTTTTCGTTGGCAGGGGATGCAGGAGGATCCACCCAGCCCTGCCCGGGCCACCACAGGTGCCACTGACACAAGTGACGTTAAGCTGGCCATGCCCACCCTGGCCATGCTCCCCTGGCCCCCTCAGTTCAAACACAACCCTCATGCAGCCCTCAATGAAATCAAGTTTGACACCCTGTTCTAGGCAATTTGTAAATGTTGTTTTTGCTTTAATTTCATCCAGCTAGGAAGGAGGGAATGACAAACCACTTCTGAAAACCTTGTCAAGAAAACTGCAGGGACTTGTCCAGGCAGTCTCTGAGATCGGACAGGACTGAACAGAATAAAAAGAAAAACCTCATTTTTATTGGGAAATGAAAAGATAGCCAAACACTGTAATTAACATACTTTTGCATTTTCATGTCTCAAGTTGAAAGTGAGTTCTAAATTGGTGAGAAACAGGTCTGAAAATTCAGGATACATATCCAAAACTTCTAACAAGTCTTCTCGCTGGATTTTATGTAAGTCACAGTAGGTTAGTGCTCTCACATCTGCATTTGATTTTCCTGGTTTTGCATAAAGATGGACCATTTCTCCAAAAATATCATTTTTGCCTGTAACAATAATGGCACAGAAAAGCATGGTAAATACAAGAATTCACATTTCTCTCTCTCTCCCTCCCTCCCTCCCTCCCTCCCTCTCTCTCTCTCTTTCTCTTCTTAAACAAGAAGGCATAAATGTCTAAAAATGATTGTTTAACCACCAGTTATTTATTTTTCCTGTTAAAAAAAATAATTTTCCTCTCTGGAAATCTCACTAACAAAACAGAATAACACACTCCTCTGTCATTATAGTCTTTCCCATATTGACTTAATGGATGCCGTTTTCTGCCTAAACAGAATTCATTGGGCTTTTACTTCTAGAGATAAAGCTGCAATTATTTATGATCCTCATAAAAGAACCTTGTAAAACTTTGCAAGGAGCATATGATGATTTAAACCCTTGAAAGTAAGGATGGTTGAGTTCTGAGGAAGTCAAGGTGTGTGTTGGAAACATGTTCCTACCATCAGGCATTCATCAGGTTCTTGTGGGAAATTATGGCAATAATTGTTGGCAATCCCTAAAGGATGAGCACTGAAGTTTCATCACTGCTATGCTTTTTCTCTTTTTTGTTATTTAGAATATCTAGACAGTGGAGATATATTTTTCTACTATCATAGTAGTACTGCACATCTGAATCTAATATAATTTAAGATTAACTCTCTTTTTGCCAAATTACAGTAGTTGCTTTTCTAAGAGTCAGCATCTAGCGTTGCTTTAACTGCTTGATGTAAGACAAAAGCAGGCATAGTGGGGGGAGTTAAATGTGTCATAAGCTCAGAGTCCTTACATTGCCACATTCCAAGTCCAACCTCTCTTAAATTCTATTGACTCTGATCTGGTGCCAAATGAGGAACAAGAGAATTCAAGGGAAGTTGGACTTAGATCGTTTGTGACAATGTAAGGACTCTAAGCTGATGACATGCTTAGCTCCACCCCTCTGCTCTGTCTGCTTTTCTGCACTTGATGACATATTCCTTTTCTCTAAATTTTGCAGAATTTACATTTTATGAAAAGAAAAAAGGGTTCACATTGGATCCAGTATGACATTGATGAATATTCTTTTGATTCATTCTAATATGCAATACAAATTCTGCTCTTAGAAAGGAACAATTGCTGATCAAACCGTTAAACATTTCCAGAATTAATGGTATTTCTGAATGCTTACCAAGAATTGCTACAACCATGTCATTCTTGAGGATTTCAATGGAGCCTCGGGAAAGGAAGTAAAGTGCAGTCAGGACATCCCCACAATGGACTAGTGTGTCCCCAGGAGGTGCATGAGTAGTTTTAAACTTCATAGCCAGAGCCCGGAGACACCCTTTACTCGCCCCCTCGAAAGCTTTGCAGTTTTGAAGTAAACTTTGGTTGAGGTGGAGACATATATCAGCTTGCAAACATTCTGGAAACCCCTTTAGGACCTGATGAAGATAATGTAAGAGTTTAGTACAACCAAGCTGCTTGGCCTATGGTTTGGGAATATCATTTCCTTGATCAATCAGGTGCCAAATAAATTGGCACTAGATCTGTAATACAACAGAGATCAAAATATAATCAGAAATGTGATTGGCAGCATTGGCATGGGTAAAGGCATTCATGTTTGATATAGGTCACCGGAGGTTCTTTTATTTAGCTAGATGGATCAAAATCATCAGAAGTGGATCTCTAACTACATACTAGAGCTCGTTAGAAAGTGATTATGTCCAGAGTTGGATTCCTAATTTGATACATCAGTGGCAATAGGCTTATCTTTTGGAGGGTAAGACATGAGTTCTGGTTATGCTGAGATGGAAAGTCTATGCTCCCCAAGGACATTGGAAAGAGAGAAAACTGAACCTTATGGGGTGCGATGTGAGAGGAGTGGTATGAATCATGAGTCATGTGAAGAGAGTAGGATGAAAAAAGATGTATGTTTCAGTGACTCAAAGACATGAAGCCAGCTTGTGTTGGAAGAAAGATTCCTCTAGTCTTATTAAAGGAAACCAGCTAATGATGCTGAAGCCATTCTTCAAAAAGTCTGTCTTACTTTTGCATTGGCTTCTGAGGAAATCCTCCCATTATGTCCCTCTTTCTCCCGGGTAACACTGATTCAGGCCAGGTCCAGGAAAAGCTTCCATTTGAGGTTGTGAGGGAGTTTTTTCCTCCCCTGATGTAGGCAAAATGTGCAGATGGGGAAGGCCCAGCATTGACTTCGCTTAATTGGAAGGTTTATGGAAGCAGTGGGACACCTGTCATTTGCCACAAAGAACCTACATTGATGTAGGTTAAACGTCTCGGCTTTTAGTAGAAGCAAAGAATGCTTTGGCTTGTGGTGGAGGTGGATCCTGATTAATGGAACAGCGGCAGGTAGGATCAAGGAATCTGGTTCTTCCTTCCCTTGCAACCTTGGCACCAGCAGTTCCTTTGATGCTGCTGACCTGCACTGAGACACTTCCTTTGATTGCTAATGATCGCTTAACATGAATTATTTTGCTAGGTCTGCTTCAAGGGAAGAACCTCCTCCCCCCCCCCACACACACACAACCTGCCTTCTCTGATTATGAAAATGATCGATCCCTCTCTGGTAACAACTCTTCGATGTCTCTGAAACCTGGTAGAGTCAAAGAGAAGATTCTACCAGTCATTCCCTTCCTTTGCATATCCTGTTAAAAAGTATGCTTGCTGCTGGTTGTGAAGTTTTGAGGGCAGCTGAAAACCCTTTTCGGTTGTTTTACCAGTGGTTTGCTTTTTTTCTTTTTGATTTTTGATATTCAAAGTTCTCAAACCCCATTGCGGGCTCTCCAAAGGCAGAGCTGTGTTCCTGAGCCCAGAAGAGAGGGATTGCAATTCCCTCTCAAACAATAGCTGAACGATCTAAACCTTGTTCCTCTTCCTTTCTTGCCTATATCACCTGTGTATTACAAAGGAGAGCTCAATTGAAGCACAAAAGCTGAGAAGTACTTTTCTGTGACCTAAATAGAATGAGATTTTACGTACGTCAGTCTGTCTGTCTATCTATCATATCTCTCTATCTCTCTATCTCTCTATCTCTCTATCTCTC